AATTCCGGGAAAATTTAAAAAACTCCAAAAAAATTATTTTTTAACAAAACATTTATTTTCAAAATTTTCATTTTTCAAATTTAATATTAAAAATTTTCATTTTTCAATATTTTAAATCATTTTTTCAAAATTTAAGAAAGTTGCCCATGAAGCAATTAATTTATTTAAAAAAAATTTTTGAAAGGAAATTGAGTAAAAAATTGCTAGAATATACGCAATTCAGGGAATGTTCTTTATTATGAAAAAAAAGCATCATGTGCTCACTTTGCGGAACAGAGGAGAATTAAATGTTGCAGATAAAAACTGTAAACTATTCTTAGAGAAGATCACTTTCAGCAGCCATTTTCTAAAATTCTATTAAAAAACATTATTTCTAATTATTGTGAGTAATGTATTTGATTATAAAAAAATGTTATGTAATAAATATTTTTCTTTCTTTAAAAAAAATCTCTGAAATAAACCTTAAATTCAGTAGAATCTTCCCCTAATAAAAGAAATAATGCACCTTCTTCAATGTAATATGATGTTTTTCCATTTTTTTATATTACAGTGATATTTTTTTAGTTGTATTTTTAAAAAAAATTCACATTTTTCTTTAAAATATTGTAAATTTCACAGAAATAAATAAATGAATGTTTTGTTTATGATTTGAAAATAGTAAATGTCAGTTGTAAGGAATAAGTCATTAGTGGGCCAGGAATAGGGAAATTATTTGAAATGTATTATTTAGTTCTATGGAATGATACAACGACAAGTATTATAGAACAGAAGGACATCTTAGAAATTGTTCATGAACGCATAACAGTTAGATGGTATGGGAGATCCTATCAAGCGAAACTTATCGCTTTTAACGGTTAGTAAGACTTTCATCTTCTACAATTTAAATTTTGACCTTTTAACTATGAAAACATTTCCTTTTGCCTCTTGGTAAACATATCCACAGATTAAAAAGATTTAGACAACAAATAAAGGTATATACTTAAAATTGAATTCATCAAATCTTACAAATTTAAGCCAAAAATTGTTAAATAATATTTATTTATTTTTTTGTTTTTTATGTTCAAATTTACTAAACAATTATTTTTATTTAAATTTTATACACAAAAAATTATTCAACATAAAAAACAGAAATTTTGTAATTAATTGGGATAAAATTTTATAGGTTTATTTATCACATGAATAAATTATATTTTACTGAAGAATTTTTAAATATAGCAAAAAGAAATCTATTTGTATTCAGCGACCTTAAAATTCAAAAATAGAAAGTTTAGTAAAAATACAGAAAAAATTTTGTCAACACATTTTTGGTTATGAATGTGAGAAACCTCCTTGAAAAGCAAGGGGTTAATTGAATATGAATTTTATTCAACTATCATTTTACATAATTTACATTTTTTAAAGTTAATATTTGATTGACATTTGATTTGACCAAATTTTAAATTATTTGTATTCATTAAATAAATTAATTATACTTAAATAATTAAATTAAATAATTAAAATAAATTAAATAAAATAATTAAATTAAATTACTTAAATTATACTTAAATAAATAAAATAATTAAATAAGTTCAAAAATATGTTCATGAAATTCAACTATTATATATTAGAGAACAAAGAATGGCTCGAATCTTTGGATATAAACAAGACGGGAGTACTGTTTGGCCAAACTGAACAAAAGATTCCAAATGGTAATTTTTAATCTTTATGAACCATTCATTTTTTTAATCAAGTAACTTTTGGATCACGGCAATTAATGAATTCTGGATTGTTAATTGAGGGCATGTGATTTCTAATTTACGTGATCACTACGTAATGTTGATTTTTTCGTAACTATTTTCTGTAAATAACCATAAAGTTAGTTTCCAAAACTTTCAGAGATGTCTTTTTCGCGTACTAAAATTTTTTTATTCGGAATCAGTTGAAGTAAAATTTAAAAACAAATTAGGAACTTTTATTTAAATTCACAATAATTCTTGTGAATAAACTTTTAAGAATCATTGCAGTAACTTTTCGTAACCTATCAAAAATTTTTTTATACCTTTGCTTTCTGAATACCTTTTAGAATTCTAATAGAACAAAGTTTTTCTGACTAAGAAAAAACAAACCTTCTCTTGAAGTTTCTATTCAATATTAAAATTTTTTAGTAAATAAGTTTTATAATAATAAGTAAATTAATTAATGAATAAATTCTAAAATAAATTAAAATATTAACTACAAACTCCTATGTTAAAACACACCTGGGAAATTCCTGGTTAATTCTTGCGATTGAATATTCTGTATATTGGCGATTCAAACAGCTACACTAGCGCCACAGTTGAACTAACTTAAGCGTGACTCGCTCTGTAGCACTCAATGAGTTTTAAATTATTTTTTTTTATTTAACGCTTAAAAATTATTTTACAAACGCAATAAAAATATCAGAATAATTAAATAATTTGAAATAAACTGTCACAACAGAGACTGCTTTAGAGCGAGTCACGCCTAAGTTAGTTCAACTGTGGCGCTAGTGTAGCTGTTTGAATCGCCAATAAAACTATTGATAATTCTATAATCATTTTTCTGAAAGTCTATTTGAAATCAAATTTTGAGTTTCTTGGGAATATTTTCTCATAGGTTAATAGTGTTGTCAATTTTCATAAATAAAATATATTTTACATTAGTGATAATACCAGATGCGATTGACTCGATGGGCAACGACACACTTAATGTGACTGCTGGCGAATCAATTTCTGGCACTGCAAACGAACCAGCTTCTGCTGCAAATGACATAGTTAGTTATAAATTGAATATTTATTCATGTTTTTTATTCATTATTCATGTGAAAATATTTTCATAAAATTTTCATTTTTTTTATTGACATTCAAGGATATAATATAGCAGTTTTACCATCTCTGTATATTTGAATTGATAAAAGTTTTGTTCTTTCAAATAACGAATCAAGTTTTAAATGAAAAATTTGTGAAGATCGCTGTTATATCATTGCAATTTTCTTCATAAGAAAAAGACATCCTAAAACATTCATAGGGTTTCCATAAGATATAGAAACCTACCACCGTGTGTAGAATATCAGCATAATATAAATAGGACAAAAGTAAAATATCGATAGAATACCCATAAGATATTCCTGCGATATCTCAGAGATATTCACAGGATATATCAAGGTTATACCAAGGTTATCACGTAGATATTTTAAAGGTCATCATTGTTTACTAACTCGGTATTACGCCGGCAAAAATATTGGTACCTGGGGGTCGATTATGTAATTTCACTTTCACTTCACTTTCACTTTCACACCATTTTCACTCGACTTTCAATTTCACTCCATTTTCACTCCACTTTCACATCATTTTCACTCGACTCTCACTTTCACACCATTTTCACTCCACATTCACTTTCACACCATTTTCACTCGACATTCACTTTCACACCATTTTCACTCCACTTTCACTTTCACACCATTTTCACTCGACTTTCAATTTCACTCCATTTTCACTCCACTTTCACTTTCACATCATTTTCACTCGACTCTCACTTTCACACCATTTTCACTCCACTTTCACATCATTTTTACTCGACTTTCAATTTCACTCCATTTTCACTCGATTTTTACTTTCACACCATTTTCACTCCACTCTCACTTTCACACCATTTTCACCCCACTTTCACTTTCATCCCATTAGCACTCCACTCTCACTTTCACACCATTTTCACCCCACTTTCACTTTCATCCCATTAGCACTCCACATGCACTTACACCTCTTTTGCACTCGACTTTCACTCCTCTTCAAACCAATTTTCACTGCACCTTCACTTATGAGACGAAAATGAGTACGCGATCAAAAAAGATAGAGAAATTTTTAATTTCACTAAAATAGTTCCATCTTTCTTAGAGTGGATTCAGCATAAGATCATGTTAAAGCCGATTTAATTTTCTGCGAAAAATTCGAGTCCGTCACATCCTGAGTTAAAATAGAACTTAATTTGAAGCCCTATAAAATGAATTTTTATTAACTTTTTGTAAAGGAAATGACTGAAATAACGAAGGGAATTCCGGTTTACGTTAAAACATCGCAGTTGAGGACTTTTGAAAATTTGCACCACAAGCCAAGGGAATTGGCCAGGAGTTTGCTGAAGGAGCTAATAAAAGTTGACGAACTTAAACAAATGACGGCACTGGGCAGGTCAGGAAAAAAGGGGGTTCCTGAAGAAATTCGAAGAGCAATTTTTTGTAATAATGAAATTAATAATAAATAATCATAAATAAAAATAATAAGTCTGAATAAGTTTCTTTCTGCAGCTTACGTAGAGCGAAAGAAAACCGAAAATGTCAATTTCACCATGGAGGAGTGGATTACTGTTATTAATAACCTCATCCAAACATTGCGCCACCCAAAAATAAGGAAAAACTAATTTTATTCAATTTCATTTATTTTTCTGCAACTCTCGATATAATTTATAATAAATAAAAATGTCTGCTTTTTCAAAATAAATTTTTTTCAATTTACTCAATTATCTTTTATCTTCTATAAAATATTTTTAAGATCAATTCCTAAAATGAATAAGTGTTTCATATTTTTCAAATTATTCAAAAGATACAAAATAAAATAAAAATAATACATCAATAATAGCAAAACCCGCGCACCCTGCTTCGCGGAGCAGTTCATTGCGGGTTTTACGCATACATATGACAACACATACAAATAACTAACTCAGGATGGAGTCAGATTAATCACCGGAAATAATTCCTTTTTGACTTACTAGAGACATCGGAATCCTAAGTTACTCCAAGAACAAAAGGAAATAATTGTAACATTACATCCAAGTTTTGGTTTTCGATCCCATATTTGTGAAGTCGATAAGTTCAACATAAGATTTAAAATAATTTGGTACTAAAATACAATTTTTTCAAATTTATTAAAAATACTGCGATGTAATTAATTGTATAAATTATTATTCACCAATAAATTGAAATGTAAATAAAATAGATTACTTGTTACAAATCATTTTTTATCACTTCTAATTTGAACAATATGTTTTAAAAAGGAAAATGTTTCCAAAAATTTTTTGTCCTCCTCTGTCTGGAATTTTTTTCTGGAAATAATGCAATACTTGTTTCTAATTTTTTTAAATAAATCTTCGACTTTTCCGCCTGTAAGAATATTTATTGATTCATGATAATAATAATAATAATTATAATAATAATTTCACTTGTAAAAATAATAATATACATTTATGTATAATTTACCTTTTAACCAAAAATAACTTGGATCTTTATTTTTAATTTCCGCAGCTGTTTCCTCAAACGCATTTGTCACCAAACGACTTCGGTTAGAATATTGAGGAATTGTGAATTGCTTGTCGTAAATTATATTCCTTTTACCAATTTCTTCACCAAGAAGCTTAATTAATTTTCTATCCTCCATGTTTACACTTTTTGGTTATATTATATTAATGCAACTTGAAGTTGATTGTTTTAAAAACAAAAGTTAAGCGTCAATTACAGGTTTTTTTTACAGGGAAAGAAAAAAAAGTAAAATTTTTATTTAAACGAATGTTTTTAAATTTCAAATAAAAAAATTATTATTATAAAAATAAATATAATATTGATAATAAAAATACACCCGCGCACCCTGCTTCGCGGAGCAGTACATTGCGGGTTTATGCAATTGAATTTAAATATTTATAACAAATGGTAAGTGATATCGATTTAAAAAATAAATCAATATTTATAGCTATAATAGATCAAAAATATAATAAATTATAAAAATATAAATATATAATAAATTAGAAAATTTAATAAAATAATTTTGATATTGATTGTTCATAATATTTTTTAAGATGAATTCATAACAAATTAAAAAATAAATAGTGGTAAAGAAGTAAACTAGAAAAATAATTCTTTTGTTTTATTTTCATTTCTATCATCATTTGTCATTTTTTTCAGCCATTTTGACTGAAGTTTGACAAATTAAAAATAAAATAAAAATTTTCTAAGCAGTAATAATATTTTAATGAATTTTGAGAACATTGAAAAGGAAAGCGAGGAAGATATTCAGAAAAACGTGTAGACCGCCCCACCAACAGTGGATCTACCTGAGAATAAAATCAATCAGATCGAGTTCTGCTTTATAATTATACTCCAAGCTTTTTTGCTTTTCTTTCACTACGAAATTGCCTGTAAAAATGGAGCGAAACATTTTCTCAAATTTAAGCGGTAAGTGTAATACTTATTTAATTATTTACTGAATTGGCGAAATTTTAATCAATGGAAATTGATGTTGTTTAAGGTTCTCAATTTTTTTCTGCCAATATTGAGTATTTAAAAATAGAATATATTGTGAAAAGTTTAAAAATAATTTGCTTACAATTTTTTAAATAAAACTCAAAATTTTCCAAAAATCAAAATTAGAACTATTCTCACAATTTTCATTATTTGTCATTGTCGAATGTTTCATACACCTTTTTCATGGTTCTAAGTAATGAAATGTATGGATTTTGAAAACATTTTGATTTTTTCCAAAAATGAAAATTTTGAAAAATTAAAAAAATTTGTGAAATAGTTAAAAATAATATTTTTTTTATAGTGGAATGTAATTTCAGGTTTTGAAAAAAATGTCAAAAAAATTGTTACTCCTCAACGAGGTCAATTTGATCGATTTAAAATTTACTGTAATTTTTTTCAAAATTTAAATGCTTTCACAATTTTCCTCATTTTTCATCGACGAATTTCTTATATGCTTTTTTCATTAATCCAATCAATCAATTGCCTGGAATTTGTAAAATTTCAATTTTTTCAAAGTCATAAATTTTCTGAAATGCCCAAAATTAATATTTTCAAAATTTTAATAGTAATATAATAATTTTAGATCTTAAAAAATGACAAGAAAAGACAATTCTTAAGAACAATTATTTCAATCGACTAAAATTTCATTGGTCTTTCCCCTTAATAATAATAAAAATAAAATGATAATAATTTTTAATAATTAATAATAATCAATATTAATAATAATAATTAATAATAATAAAAATAAAATGATAATAATTTTTAATAATTAATAATAATCAATATTAATAATAATAATTAATAATAATAATTAATAATAATGTTTATTAAAATTTTCAGAAGTAAAGCGAGGTTTGATAATTGGAATGCATCAAGCAGGGAGTAGGACTGATGAAATTTCCCAGCAAGTCGGCTGCTCCATGAAAACTGTAAGGCTTTGGATAAAAAGATATGCACAGGGCGGACCCCTAGCATTGGCCGATCACCGAAAATACAACCATCCTCCGAGGAAAACGACACTAATTCAGGATGAAGTGATAAACGAATTCTTCACTGCTCATGATCCATTTTCTTCTACGAGACGTTTTGTAAACGTTGTTCAACCAGAAGTCTGCAATGATACCATCCGTAGAAAGTTGAATGAAATGGGGATTCGGAGCCGTCGCCCAGCGATGAAATGGGAGCTTACTGAGGACCATCGAACCCAACGTCGTGAGTACGCTGAACGATATCTTAACGAACCAGAGGAATTTTGGATAAATACCATCTGTGTGGATGAGAAGTCCTTTCAATCGTCCGAAGATGGTCGAACTCTGGTTTGGAGAAGCAATGAAAGCCGGTTACGAGAGAACTGCGTTGTGAGGAAGAACAGAAGCGGGCGCATTTCTTGCAATTTTTGGGGCAGCTCCTCTGTCTACGGAGTTGGCGTATTAAGGGACGTAGGCCCTAGATTCAATTCGCAGGCATACGTTGAATTACTAGAACAAGACTTTCTGCCGTACGTAAACCGGTTGTTCCCCGAAGACGAGTATGAGGAAGTGAAGCTGTTACAAGACAATAGCAGGATCCACACGGCCAATCGGACGATGAATTGGTTTGAGCGACACCCGAGAATCACCTTGCTTCCTCATCCTCCGCGTTCGCCAGATCTCAACCCCATCGAAAATTTATGGGCAATGGTGGTCAGGAAATGGGAATCAGGAGCTGACCGAAATTTGGAAGACCTGATGAACCACGCCTGGAGAAGTTGGCAAGAAATAGGAGATACGCCAGAAGTCGTTTCAAACGCAATTCTTTCTATGCCGAGACGACTACAGGCAGTCCTTGACAACGATGGAGGATGGACAAAATATTAAGTGTCTGTCTGTCTGTCAAGAATTCACAGAGGCCACCCGACAAAAAGGTGAGTTTTTGTATTTGAAAAAAAATATTCTTCTTTTATTATTTATTTTTATAAATAAACGAATATTACATTTAAATTGAAAGTTAATAATTTAAAAAAATATTTTCCCCAGCTTCAGAAAAAGCGAAAAATCCTTGCCCTCCAATCAGCACTTCTTATGGCAGAAATAGGTAACGATCTTAAAGGATGGTTGATAACGGTACTCCAAAAAGTCGACTCTTTAAAACGGCTATTAGAAGAAGAGCAACAGAGCCACGCAACTCAGATTTAATGCCTTCAAGATAAATGATGATGGAGACGAAATGGAATCAAACTTTGCCACCGTTATACACTTTTGAATATGTGTTTCATTCTAATTTAATTTTTTTATGGAAGAAAAAAGACTTTTTAAGGCAATAATCACTGTTGAATATTTTATACCTTATTATCAACCTTTTTTTTATCTCAATTTTTAAAACAATTTGTCTAATAAAACAATCAACTGTATGCTAAACATAAAACTTTTATTTATTACAATGATTTTCCATTCTTTCTACAATGAATTTTCTTATCAGGATTTGTTTAATTTGAGACTCAAAATAAGAGTTTAAACAATTTATCACAATAATAAAATTCCTAAATAAATAAATATATTTTTCAATAAAATTATCAATTTTTTTACTACTGAATAATAAAAAAACAAATTAAAATTACGTTGAACTTTTTATAATTATTCAAAATTGTTTACAGAAATAACTTTGCAATTGAAAACCGCGATCTTTCTGATCCCACGAATTTGGCGAGTTTCACTCCTCAGACTGATTCCACATTTACCGAGTCAACTTGGCCAACGTTAAAATTTCATAATAATATCTGCGTGATTGAAGAAAGATTAATTCTTTGAAAAATGGGGTTTTAATTTTCATTCTCAATTTAAAATGAGAAAAAAATTACCGATATTTAAGTTTTTTTTAAATTGAATTTTGTTTTTGTATTAAATATTAAATGATATTTAAATCTCTTAAGAAATTCATTCTTTAAACTTTTTATCGCAAATCTGAAATAATAATTATTTTTTCAAATTAAATTTTTTGTCACGGATTTTCGACGTTAAACAAGCATGATGTTTTGATTTTCAAAAAAGTATTTAATTTTTACAAAATTTAGAAATATTAAAATAATAAGAGGACTATTTATTTTATTTTCCAAATATAAAATATAATTATTTGTTATTGTTTTTATATTTTAACCTAAATGTTGTTTACCTGCAACCCCTGCAATTGATTGTATAATCCTTTTTTAAATCACAAATATTCAATTGCCAAACATATTTTATTAGTTTAACACTCGGAATGATTTCTTTAAAATCAAATTACGCACAAAAACTGCTAACCAACAATTTTCACTCACCAAAACAAACTTTTTCAAATGATGACCGATGATGACACCTTCTATTTTGACAGCTGATTTAGCACAGAATCTGAAATTTTAAGACTCACCGCAAACATTCATCTCTTAGCAGCAACTTCAAGTGGAAGGCATTTGTACGTTTTACTGTACTACTGAAAATAGCAAAGTTTTGTTTGCTCGCCTAGGGCTGATTATACATTGACTTATACTACTTAAAGTAAGTCATTTCTTGTTGCTGAAAGGGTATACCTATTCTTCTTATTATAGAATATTATTTCATTATATTCTTTTATATTATTCCATTACATGTTTTATTTACAAAATAAAATAATATTTACACCAGCAAAAACTATGATAAATATTTTAGCACAAGATACACTGAAAAAAAATTTATTTCATTCAAATAATCAGTTACTTGATTATTATCAAATAAATATTTACTTAATTCAAATAATTTACATTATTAATTTTAAAAAAAATTAATATATTAATTATATAACATTAAAATATTAATTTTTCATTTTTGTATATGTGTCTGACTATAATTTGACTCGTACTACTTAAAATAGAATTATTTTCCATTATATTTATTTCTTTTTTGGTAAATAAATAAATGAATTTCTTGTAAAAATTATAAAAAAATGTAAAATTTTCATTTCAGAAGGTATTTTAATTTATTTTCTCATTTCAACGGAGAGAGAGAGAGAGAGAGTGAGAGAGAGATATGCTTGCTCAAACGGAGAATAAGATTAGCTTACATACAAACAGCTAAGATGGCATAGAAATCTGATCTAGTATGTATGCAAACACCTCAATGTCTATGCGCAATTCTGACAGTGATATTAACA